ACCACGGTGACATCACACATCCTTGTCTAAGACCTAGTTTTACTGGGAAATAATTTCCCTCTTTCCTACATACTCTAACTTGAACCTCACTATCCTCGTAAAAACTCTTCACTGCTTTCAGTAACCTACCTCCTACACCATACACTTGCAACATCTGCCACATTGCCCCCCTATCCACCCTGTCATACGCCTTTTCCAAATCCATAAATGCCACAAAGACCTCTTTAGTCTTATCTAAATACTGTTCACTTATATGCTTCACTGTAAACACCTGGTCCACTCACCCCTTACCTTTCCTAAAGCCTCCTTGTTCATCTGCTATCCTATTCTCTGTCTTACTCTTAATTCTTTCAATAATAACTCTACCATACACTTTACCAGGTATACTCAACAGACTTATCCCCCTATAATTTTTGCACTCTCTTTTATCCCCTTTGCCTTTATACAAAGGAACTATGCATGCTCTCTGCCAATCCCTAGGTACCTTACCTTCTTCCATACATTTATTAATTGCACCAACCACTCCAAAACTATATCCCCACCTGCTTTTAACATTTCTATCTTTATCCCATCAATCCCGGCTGCCTTACCCCCTTTCATTTTACCTACTGCCTCATGAACTTCCCCCACACTCACAACTGGCTCTTCCTCACTCCTACAAGATGTTATTCCTCCTTGCCCTATACACGAAATCACAGCTTCCCTATCTTCATCAACATTTAACAATTCCTTAAAATATTCCCTCCATCTTCCCAATACCTCTAACTCTCCATTTAATAACTCTCCTCTGCTATTTTTAACTGACAAATCCATTTGTTCTCTAGGCTTCCTTAACTTGTTAATCTCACTCCAAAACTTTTTCTTATTTTCAACAAAATTTGTTGATAACATCTCACCCACTCTCTCATTTGCTCTCTTTTTACATTGCTTCACCACTCTCTTAACCTCTCTCTTTTTCTCCATATACTCTTTCCTCCTTGCATCACTTCTTCAGTATTACTACAATTATTTATTTTATCATTAATGAAGTTGAGAAGTATCCTCCTGTTCAGTTGATGGCCCTTAAATATTCTCATTGCTAAACATTAGTCATTGGTCATGCAGTAGTGACGTAACTGGAGTTTACTCCCCACATCTCCCCACCCTTGGATTTCATGGGGGTGACACCAAAGATTCCGCCCCAGGTGGCACCAGCCCTCCCAATGCCTCTGGTGGGTCTCTGTGACTGTAAGCAGTCCATAGATGAAAAGTGGGGCCCTTCTGTATAGAAGTAGCCTCCTGTACCATAGTAGCCTCCTGTACTGCAGTAGTCTGGAATCTAACCTGTTGTATGAGGAGGGCCCTCCTGTATAGAAATAGCCTTGAACCTAACCTGCTGTATAAGAACACAAGAAAAGAGGAACACTGCAGCAGGCCTGTTGGCCCATACTAGGCAGGTCCTTCACAATCCATCCCACTTGCAGAATATTTGCCCAGCCCAATTTTCAATGCTACCCAAGCAATAAGCTTTGATAATTCTATTTATGCATGTGCAAGTCCTGCTCAAATCCAACTACTCTCACTCGTGTATGTATCCAACCTAAATTTGAAACTACCCAAGGTTTTAGCTTCAATAACCATACTAGGCAGACTGTTTCATTCATCATCTACCCTGTTTCCAAACCAACACTTTCCTGTATCCTTTCTATAATAAACTTGTCTAATTTGAATCCATTATTGCAGGCTCTCTCTTGGAGGGACATCCTCAAGACATTATTTACATCTCCTTTGTGAATACCCATCTTCCACTTATACACTTCAATCATGTCTCCCCTCATTCATCATCTTACAAGTGAATGTAATTTAAGGGACTTCAATCTTTCTTCATACAGAAGATTTCTAATGCTATGAATTATTTTTGTCATTCTTTGCTGAATGTTTTCTAATGAATTTATATCCATTCTGTAATATAGAGACCAGAACTGAGCTGCATAATTTAGGTGAGGCCTTACTAATGATGTACAGCCTCTTCTCACTTAATCCATTGACTGTTTTCATCGTATATACAGTGAAACCCCAGGTTTCGGCCATAATCCGTTCCAGGAGCTAGGCCTAAACATGAAACAACCAAAAGGCGAAGCAATATTTCCCATAAGAAATAATGTAAATAAAATTAATCCGTTCCAGACCCACAAAAATATTCTCAAAAAATACATTTTTTAAATAATAACTGTAGTTTCACATACACACAACACAGATAAATACATATACGTATATTATATAGATAAATTAAAATTTTAATGAACGTTTAAAATAACATTTACTAACCTTTATCGAAGAGACTTGCTGGCATCTGGAAGATAGGGAGGAGGAAAGAGGGAGGACTTATTGTTTGGAAGGTGAATCCCCTTCCATAAAGACTTTAGGTAACAAGTCCTTCTCTGGGGTTACTTCCCTTCTTTGTCTTTTATTGCCACTAGGACCAGCTTGAGAGTCACTGGACCCCTGTCTCACAAAATAACTGTCAAGAATACTCTGTTTCTGGCGTCTCTTTAAGATTTCCCTGAAGTGGGAGAAGGTTTTGTCACTGAACCTGTTGCAGGTATGGCTTGTTTCAGCTTGGTCAGGATGATACTTTTCAACAAAAGTTTGCGACTCATTCCACTTTGCACACTTTTCAGTCACAATTATTGACTGGCTGGCTGGGTGGCTGCAGGGAGGGAGGGAGGGTAATATTCACTCAAGGATAAACAACATTAGACCAGGTGACAACGCTTGCGCGGGCAGACAGATCTGGCATGCCGGCTGAAACCCGGGGCAGCAGTCAAAATGTGGGACAAAATTTGGCCGATAAAAACAGGCGAAACCCAAAGTGGCCGATTCCTAGGACAGCCGAAACCCGGGGTTTCATTGTGTGGGTCTTACGAGCCAGTGTTTTTGACATATTAAAATGCCAAAATTCTAGTGGCTTCAAATCAAGTGGGAGAAGGCTGGTAGGCTCACATGTGAGAGAATGAGAGGGTTTCGGGGGTCAATGCCCTTGCAGCCAGGTCTGAGACCAGGCCTCGTGGTGAATCAGAGTCTGATCAACAAGGCTGTTACTGCTGGCCGTGCACAAACTGATGTACGAACCACAACCTGGCTGGTCAGGTACTAACTTTAGGTGTCTGTCCAGTGCTTGCTTGAAGACAGCCAGGGTTCTATTGGTAATCCCCCTTATGTATGCTGGGAGGCAGTTGAACAGTCTTGGGCCCCTGACACTTATTGTGTTGTCTCTTAGGGTACTTGTAGTCCCCTGCTTTTCACAGGGGGAATGTTGCATCTCCTGCCAAGTCTTTAACTTTCATAGGGAGAGATTTTCATGTCCAAGTTTGCTAATAATCCCTCTATGATTTTCCAAGTGTATATTATCATGTATTTTTCTCACCCGCATTCCTAGGAATACAAATCGAGGAACTTCAACCGTTCCCAGTAATTTAGGTGCTTTATCATATTTATGTGCCGTGAAAGTTCTCTGTACACTCTCCAGGTCAGCAATTTCGCCTGCCTTGAAAAGGGCAGGTAGTGTACAGCAGTATTCTATTCTATTCATGGGCTTGGGGTCCCTGATTTTGAAGGTTCTCTTTATCCATCCTGTCATTTTTCTAGTAGATGAGGTAGGTACATCGTTGTGCTCTTTGAAGGGGAGGCATGAGCAGTTTGGACCTTTAATTTTTTTGCTCGTCTGATTTCTTTCATTTTTGGTGCACGTGAAGAAGTGTTCACTCTCCTTATTTTGTGTAAGTTTCAGTAAGATAGCCTAAAAAACAACAACAAAAAATATTGACTGAAAATGACATTTGGCAAGAATCCCAGCCTAAATGGCACTAAATGTTGTATAAAATTCTGCCACAATTTTTCAATAGTGCTATAACCAAAACATGGCAAATAAATCTGACATAAATAATGTCAATGCATTCCTAAATGCATATTAGAATGGCCAGCTGGAGACGTATTGGACAAGTAACATTTGTGTACTCTGGAATATCGGCAAAAATTGAACATTTCTGCTAATTTGAGCTTAATTTCAAGTAACTTTCAATCCTGAAAACAATCAAAATCATCTGTATTTCTGTATAATATCTTCCATTCTATCAAATAAGACCAAGAACCTTAGAATACAGCTGTAAAAACCATATGAAAATACACTGCAAATTCGCTGTTTTAAACGAAAAACACAGTTGTTTTTTCTCATTATGCAGTGCATGCTGCAAGATTTTTTTATATCATGTACACTTACTGCATAGACCCATTCTCTCATATCTAGGCCCAGATTTACTGCTCACAATTTACCTGAGTGAGCTAAGTTGATGGCATTATACTACATTGGCTTCAAAACCCTGATACAGCAGAACCCTGAAAGAGTTAACAGGTTACCGAACTTGTATGCTTGCAGTCCATTTAGTAAATATATAATTAATATATTTATAATTTATTCCCTATATTGATATATAATTAAAGGAGTTGGAGGTGCCATAAATATAGGAGTTGGTGTCTAAGGTTTAATGTGCAGACTCCACAGCCCTTTGCTGTATAAATGGGGCTCTTCTTTACAGCAGTAGCCCAGAACCCAACCTGTTCTATAACTGGGGCCTTCCTGTACAGCAGTAGCCCAGAACCTAACCTGCTGTATAAGTGGGGCCCTCCTGTAACTAACAAGCAACTAGCAGGCAGTGTTTGTGTTGCAGGTGAAGAGGTCTGGAGGAAAGCCACTATCTTGCAGGCAGTATTCTTGTGTTGCAGGCAGTATACTTGTGTTGCAGGCAGTATATTTGTGGTGCAGGCAGTATGTTTAGAAAGAGGTCTGGAGTCTGGCCACTGGGTTGTAGGCAGTATATTTGTGTTGCAGGCTGTGTTCCAGACAGTATACTAGTGTTGTAGGTAGTATACTTGTGTTGCAGGCAGTATTTATATTGCAGACAGTATGCGCATTAAGAGGTCTGGTCCCTATGTTGTAGGCGGTATGCTTGTGTTGCAGGCAGTATACTTGTGTTGCAGGCAGTGTTTGTGTTGCAGGCAGTATGCGCAGGAAGAGGTCTGGAGTCTGGCCACATTTCCAAGAGTCTGGTGACAGGAAGGTGTGTTGCAGGATCTGCAACATGCAACTGACACGCCAGGGCAATACCTCTGTTATGTTGCGCCACTTGCGCAGGAAACACCCGGGACTGATGCCTGGTGACGCTTACAACGAGAGTGCCGCCGGAAGTGCTGCTGGAAGTGCTGCCGCTGGAGAGGAAGTTTGGCATAGTGATGTCAAGGTCATCCAGGAAGATGATGCTCAACCCTTGTATAAACAAAGTAATGTATAATATATTGCTGTATACTGTATACTGCTGTATATTGCTGTATACTGCTGTATACTGCTGTATACTACTGTATACTACTGTGTGCTGCTGTATACTGATGGATGCTGCTGTATACTGCTGTATACTACTGTATACTGCTATATACTACTGTATACTGATGTTTAGTACTAACACACTACTACACTTGTATAAGCAAAGTAATGTATACTACTATGTATACACTATGTATACACTTCACTATGATAATGTTGTGTATACTTATCACTAAGTATACTATACTTGTGTATATACATCACTAATACCAGGTATGCTACACTAAGTATACTGCACTATTGTATACACCACTAACACAATGTATACTACATTAGTGTATGCACCAGTAACACAGTGTATACTTCACTAGTGTATACACCACCAACACAATATGTACTACACTAGTGTATACACAGTACTATTACTGTTACTATCATGTCTATTACTGTTACTATCAGGACTATTATTGTTACTATCAGGATCATTACTGTTACTATCAGGACTATTACTGTTAGTGTAAGGTCTGTTACTGTTACTATCATGACTATTGCTGTTACTATCAGGACTATTACTGTTACTCCCAGTATTATTACTGTTACTATCATGACTATTACAGTTACTACCAGGACTATTACTGTTACTATCAGGACTACTACTGTTACTATCAGGACTTTTACTGTTACTATCATGACTATAACTATTACTACCAGTACTATTACTGTTACTATCATGGCTATAACTGTTACTACCAGTACTATTACTGTTACTACCAGTACTGTACTGTTACTATCAGGACTATTACTGTTACTATCAGGTCTATTACTGTTACTATCAGGTCTGTTACTGTTACTATCAGACCATTACTGTTACTGTCAGGTCTGTTACTGTTACTATCAGACCATTACTGTTACTAGCAGTACTATTACTGTTACTATCAGAACTATTACTGTTACTACCAGTACTGTTACTGCCAGTACTATTACTGTTACTACCAGTACTATTACTGTTACTACCAGTACTATTACTGTTACTGCCAGTACTATTACTGTTACTACCAGTACTATTACTGTTACTACCAGTACTATTACTGTTACTACCAGTACTATTACTATCACTACCATTGCTATTACTACCATTACTATTATTATCCTCAGAGAAGCGCAAGAGGTCGTCAGTATGGGCACACTTCGTGGAGGAAGGTGCTGACAAGGTCAGCTGTCAGCTGTGTCAGGAGGTGGTGACCAACCAGAAGGGCAGCACGTCCTCCATGATCCGTCACCTCCAGTATAAACACCCCAACCTCCATCATGATGCTGACAGGCGAGTGCTTACCACAGATACTGATGACAGGTGAGTGCTGACCACAGATACTGATGACAGGTGAGTGCTGACCACAGGTACTGATGACAGGTGAGTGCTGACCACTCCTGCTGACCACAGGTACTGATGACAGTTGAGTGCTGGCCACTCCTGTTGACCACAGGTATTGATAACAGGTGAGGTGAGTGCTGACCACAGGCTCTGATGACAGGTGAGAGCTGACTACACCTGCTGACCACAGGTAGTGACGACAGGCGAGTGCTGACCACTCCTGCTGTTCAGACCTGCTGACAGGTGAGTGCTGATCCTAGGTACTGATGACAGGTGAGTGCTGACTACTCCTGCTGACAGGTGAGTGCTGATCCTGGGTACTGATGACAGGTGAGTGCTGGCCACACCTGCTGACCACAGGTACTGATGACAGGTGAGTGCTGACCACAGGTATTGATTATAGGCGAGTGCTGACCACACCTGCTGACCGCAGGTACTGATGACAGGTGAGTGCTGACCACTCCTGCTGTTCAAACCTGCTGACAGGTTAGTACTGACCACACCTGCTCACAGGTGAGTGCTGACCACATGTACTGATGATGGGTGAGTGCTGACCACAGGTAGTGATGACAGGTGAGTGTTGACTACAGGTACTGATAGGTGAGTGCTGACCACAGGTACTGATGACAAGTGAGTATTGACCACAGGTACTGATGACTGCTGACAACTGGTACTGATGACAGGGGAGTGCTGACCACATATACTGATTACAGGTGAGTACTGACCTCATGTACTGATTACAGGTGAGTGCTGACCACAGATACGGATGACTGGTGAGTGCTGACTTCAGGTACTGATGACTGGTGAGTGCTGACCTCAGATACTGATGACTGGTGAGTGCTGACGATACGTGCTGATGTCAGGTGAACACTGACAACTGATGGTCGTTATTGACTGAATGATGGTTAATGTGTCTTCTTCGGTTGTTGGGAAAATTTCTGATTTTAGTTAAAAATAATATTAATTTAATTGATAAATGAAGTGGCATAACTGATTTAACCCTTTCAGGGTTGGCAGGCCTCTCCTATACTTGTTCTTAGGGTTGGAAATTTTTCGAAAAAAAAAAATTGTTTTTTCTTATGAAATGATAGAGAATGTTTTCCCAATCATAATGACACCAAAAGTAAGAAATTTGATGGAAAACTTAGGGAATTATGCTCTCGCGAAGTTAGCGGTCTCGATGATGTTTACGCATCGGCGATTTCGCCCACTTTGAGCCCTATTTTTGGCCAATTACAATGTACCAGTCGACAAAAGTCATAACTATTTTGCTAGAACTCCATTTTTTCTATCGAAGGAGTACAAGAAACCACCCATTTACCGATTTCAACTATCCAATAAAGTGGTCAGAAAGTGGCAATTTTGCCAATTTCACACAAATTTCAAAAGATGCCAATTTCCAGATAGGGTCCAGAATAAATAAGACAGACATTCCTGGCACTAAAATAACATTTCCTCTGTTCATTAGTCACGTCTCCAGGTCCCTCTTACATTTCTTTTGCTTTCCACTTTGAATTTTTTTCTCACAAAAAGTAGAAGATTTCTGTTATGCAGACTACTGCATTAGTGTAGAAATTGTGTAGAAATGGTATAAATGATATCAGTGCAGTTGTGGAAGAATATTAGACTCACCAGTTGACGTGTATTGGACGCTTGGCATGATTTGTTTACTTTTGAACTTTGGCAAAAATAGAACATGTCGGTTATTTTGAGCTCAATTTTAAGGTTTTTTTCTTTGTGAAACCAATCAAAATCATCTCAATTTCTGTAATATGTCTTCCATTCTATAAAATGAGACCAGGAAAACTAAAATACAACTATAAATAGCATATGAAAATACACTGCAAAGTTGCTGTTTTAACCCTTTCAGGGTCCAGAGGCCAAATTTCAGTGTCCACCAGGGTCCAAGAATTTTTAAAAAAAAATTTTTATTTTTTCTTATGAAATGGTACAGAAACTTTTTTTGAAGGTAATAAAACAAAAAAGTACAAAATTTGATGGAAAATTAATGAAATTATGCTCTTGCGAATTTTGATGTGTCAGCTATATTTATGCATCGGCGATATTGCCAACTTTGACTCCCATTTTAGGCAGATTGCAATATAACGGTCAACCAAATTCTTAGCTATTTCACTAGTATTACTTCATTTCTATCGAATGAGAACAAGAAATCGATCAGCGAACTGTTTCAACTACAAAATAAAGTGATTGGAAATTGGTAATTTGGCCAATTTAATGCAAAGATCAAAATATTCCAGTTTCAAAATAGGGTCCAGAATAAACAATGCAGGCATTCCTGGGACTAAATTAACATTTCCTCTGTTCATTAGTTATGTTTTCAGGCTTTACAAATTAATTCCATTTTGTTTTTTATTCACATAATGAATTTTTATTCAAACCAAAGAATAGAAGATTTACTGTTATGCAATATTGTAATAATTGTATAAATAATATCACCACATTTGTGAACATATATTAGACCTAACAGCTGGCGTGTATTAGACGTGTGAGGTCATTTGTTTACTCTTGAACATCAACGAAAATTTAACATTTCCACTACTTTGAACTCAGTTTCAAGCCTTTTCCAAAACTATAACCAATCAAAATAATCTCCATTTCTGTAATACAGTAGGGCCCCACTTATACGGCGGGTTAGGTTCCAGGCTGTCGCCGGAAAGCAGACATCACCGGAAGGCAGAACGCCATTTTTTATCATTTATAAATGCACATAAATACCAGACAACAAGTTTACACTAAATTATATTAAGTTAATAATAGAACCAGGCATGAAAAACACACAAAGTAAAATACATTCACAGTAAATTCATTACTTATCTTAAAGTATTTGTAATCTTAATGTAGGGAGAGAGGTGAGTAGTACTTATTTGTAGGAAGTCAGGTGCAGGTAGCCCAGGTGTAGGTAGCCCTGGCTCCCCATCTCATACTTAATATACGATATTTAAAACATCCCAGAGAGGTAAAATACACATACAGTACACTCATTATTTACCTTAAAATATGTGTAGTCTTAATATAGGAAGAGAGGTGAGTAGTATTTATTTGTATAAAGTCAGTGTAAGTAGCCGGTAGGTGTAGCCCGCCTGGGCTACACCTACCGGCTACCTACACTGTGGCCCAGAGCCATATTATTAACATCGACATGCCTTGTTCACTGAATCTAATCATTTCTAACAACTACCTTTAGATGCCATCATAAACGAAGGTAGAAGTAATGAATAATTCATGCCGAAAATTGTAAAAAAAAGCGGAGTGAGGGAGTGGCTGGGACAAATGCAGATTCATACACGTTTTCTCTGATGGCTGAACAGAGAAACGTAATGTTGTCCCTCCACTCGGCTACCACACAGCTCCACAAGTATTATTATCAGAGCACACCTAAAATATGCAATAAATGCCAGACAACAAGTTTACACTAACTTATATTAAGTTAGCAATAGAAATAGGCATTAACCCTTTGAGGGTTTTGGTCGTACTAGTACGTCTTACGCGTAGGGGTTTTTGACGTACTAGTACGCATAAATTCTAGCGGCCTCAAATCTCGCAGGAAAAGGCTGATAAGCCTAGATGTGAGAGAATGGGTCTGTGTGGTGGGTGTGCGCAGTAGGAAAAAAATCTGGGACCCAGTGGTGCATTGTGGGAATGCCATCATAGTACACAATTTCCACCGTGCCCTGCGGTAAGAAGTTCCTCACTCCTGGGCGAATTGGGACACTTTTGTTCCCCAGTGACAGTTCTAATACAGATGGAAGTGACAGTGAAGATGAGTTTCAAGGTTCTGGTGAGGTTTTGACCGAAAACTAATGACCATATATGGGTAATAGTGAGGAAAACCCAGACAACCCACAGCCTTCCACCTCTGGTGCTGGGCCGTCGTTCAGTTGTACCAGAATCAAAGAGGAAACTCCTATTTTCCAAAATCCCAGACTCAGATGTGAGCATTGGTGATGATAATGATAGTGATTATGAACTACAAGCTCTTCAAACTTGTTCCAAGAATGGAGGAGGAGGAGGAGGCAGAGGAGGAGGAGGCAGAGGAGGAGGAGGCAAGAGGAGGAGGAGGCAAGAGGAGGAGGAGGCAGAGGAGGAGGAGGAGGAGGAGGAGGAGGAGGAGGAGGAAGAAGAAGAGGAGGAGGAAGAAGAGGAGGAGGAGGAGGAGGAGGAGGAAGAGGAGGAGGAAGAGGAGGAGGAGGAGGAGGAGGAGGAAGAAGAAGAATACGTAATGATAACAATAATACATAATAATAATACATAATAATAATACATAATAATAATAATACATAATAATAATAATACATAATAATAATAATAGGTAATAATAATAATATGTAATAATAAATGTTCACCCATGACAGTAACAAGATAAGGGGAGATAACATCTGATAAGTGCTGACGTTTGATGAGGGTAAATGAGGGTAGAGCTGATGCCAAAAGATGAGATGAACATCGCCCTCCCTTTGTTTTTGCTGGTATACTAACATTTATGTCTGTCTATTTGCCTGTCTGTCAAGCTCCCTGTCTATCCATCTAGCTCTCTGTCTCAGAGAGCCACAAGACTGCGTCATCACTTTTACTCACATCTTCAAGCAGAGTATAGCACTTTGTCTGGGTTTCTTGGGTTATCCTAGGTAATTTATACTATGTATACTTGTATTTATGTGTACCTGTGAGACAGAGATAGACAGACAGATAGATAGAATGAGGGAGAAAGATAATTAGATAGAATGGAGGAGGGGAAGCAGCATCCGACCCCATTGTTTTGACAGGCCGGAGGGGGAAAGAGTAATGAGCCAATATGTCACTTTGACAGCTGCCGACTCCTTGTAATTTACACTATGGACGAGGAGGAGAAGGAGGAGCAGGAAGAGTAGGGGGAAGAGGAAGAAGAGGAGGAGGAGGAAGAGGAGGAGGAGGAAGAGGAAGAGTAGGAGGAAGAGGAATAAGAGGAAGAGGAGGAGGAGAGGAATAGTAGAGGAAGATTAGGGGGAAGAGGAGGAAGAGGAAGAAGAGGAGGAGGAGGAAGAGTAGGAGGAAGAGGAAGAAAGAGGAGGAGGAGGAAGAGGAGGAGGAGGAAGAGGAAGAGTAGGAGGAAGAGGAAGAGGAGGAAGAGGAAGAGTATGAGGAAGAGTAGGGGGAAGAGGAGGAAGAGTAGGGGGAAGAGGAGGAAGAGGAAGAAGAAGAGGAGGAGGGTGGAACACTAGTACACTGGTACTGGTACACTAACATTTCTGTCTGTCTATTTGTCTGTCTGTCAAGCTCCCTGTCTGTCTATCCATCTAGCTCTCTGTCTCAGAGAGCCACAAGACTGTGTCAACACTTTTACTCACATCTTCAAGCAGAGTATAGCACTTTGTCTGGATTTCTTGGGTTATCCTAGGTAATTTATACTATGTATACTTGTATTTATGTGTACCTGTGAGACAGAGATAGACAGATAGAAAGAGAGAGACAGATTGAAAGAGATAGAATGAGGGAGAAAGATAAAACACCATTGTGTATGACACCATGTTTCAGAGTTCCACAAGCTGCAGAACTAATAGGAATATGTTCAGTGACTGTATATTGGTATATATATTATAGACAATAATAATAAACAATGTTTTGTATTGTTTGTTTTTGTAAACAAGTTTTGTAAACAATACATTGATAATTATGTTTGTGTGCTTATTGTGTTGTATACAACGAGTGTATATATGTACATTGCACCTTACTTTGGTCTCATAGGCCACATAAGTTATGTGAAAAAATAAAATAGTGAAAAAAACAACAAACCTTCAAATACAAGTAAATCAAAGTTTACCGGGTGAGCGGCAGTCGCCGCTGTTGCCATACACGGCTCATTTTCTGC